TACAAATTGCATTTATTACAACAGAAAAGAAAAAGACATTTCTGCCTCATGCCTTGCAAGGACATCTTTTAATACAGTGAAACATTATTATACCTAGGGTCTTGGAATCAGAGAAAACCTGTTTAAAATCAACCCAGGGTAAGCAGTAAGGACAGTTTCCACACCCTGGGCATAAAAATGTAAAGAATAGTAGTTTATGACTCTGTCCTGTGTACGTTCAGCCTAGACTTTAACCCTTTAGGCAGAGTGTGTAAGCATATTGACATCAGTGGGACAGTTCACATTTTCATGTTGTGTGCATATTTAAGTGTTCTGCCTGCCTGGACATAATAGTGATCAATCAATAGAGATGCAATAAGGATCTGAGCCTCCTTTTACTGACTCTGAGAGATAGTGAAAGCACACCAAAATTTAGGCATTCTCAGCACTTGTTTGGGTTCCTCTGGAGTGGAATAGGGGTGGTGCCTGGCTATGTGAACTGTGTGCTGTGAGCACAGTGGCAGCATGCAGCTACCACACACAAAGATATGAATTTTGATAGTTACAGTCACAGAAATGTAGGTCAAAGCCTAATGCTGGTGGTCTTAATAATTTATTTTTTTTTCTGACCAACCAAGCACAGTAATTTTTTCTATGTGATGAATATTACAAACCTCAAAGAACAAATTTTAGAGAAGCATAGCTGGTAAGTAGGTGATTTGAGCCTGGCATTTAATATACCTTTCCAGCTGGCCAGCTTCTGATACATGGGGACTTGAAGTGACAAGGTCAGCAGGTCAAGTGATTTCATACATGTAGCATATGTTATTGAGTCAGATGATAACTTTACACTGTTAAGCTTTTTTGATTAATAGTTCTGATCTTTAAATAGACATTTTCCCTGTCTTGTAAATAAATCTTGTAAATAAATCCCATACCATTTCCCTTTCTTGTAAATAAATCTATTTTAGAATCAAAGCAGGTTCCTCAGTTTCCTGATAGGGGTTTAATAAACAAGTGCAGAGCAAAAGAAGCTGCATTAATTCTCATAGCAGAATCAGACAAAAGCTTCAAGCAATGTAAAAACTGGCTTCACCAAACTGAATAGTAGGAAACAAAGAATAGCTGAAGTCAGGAAGTGCATTGTAGGCATGGAGCAGGAGTTGATAGTGTTTAATAGTTTAATCTGAAACAGAAGGCTAGAGCAAGTTATTAGCATCCTTTAGAGGGTCAAACCAAATTTCCTGTACTTCTCTCCTCTCACAAGTGAACGTGCATGTATTTTCACTAGCTTGGCAACTGCCTCTTTGATTTCACAGCAAATCCTGACAGCTCTGGAGGAACAAACTACACAAGGAATATGCAATCTACTAAAAAAGACCTGTGCACAACCTAAGAAAACCTTTATGCAGATAAAATGAGAGTTCACAGATCTACATGCACATGATGCTTTGAGAAAAGTGACCTTGAGAACAATGCCCTAAACATGTTGTCTTATACTTGCAAGACAGTTAGATTCATTGCCAGAAATGACAGCGTCTTTCTTCTGTAGGATCATATTTCTGGGCACTTCTCTTTCTCCTGTCAGTCCTATTTTTACTTTACTTACTTCAGTTGGACACTTTTTATCATCTGATGACACTCACCCTCAGTGAGTGCTATTGAACTATAATCCAGAGGAGAGTAGTAGGAGGGACTGAGTAATCTGAGTGATGTAAGTATAATCTATAGCAAGGCAAAATGCATCCAGTCACCTGTTCCTCCTGCAGCCTGCAGAGAACAAGTTAAAATCAGGCTCCATCATAGGAGTGGTTTAGTGCAGGAAGAAGCTGAGTGATATCTCAGTTCCTGCAGCATAAGGACTTATCTGTACTGCTTGAAGAGTGAAATAAATAGTGTTTCCCAGGCAGTGTTCTGTTAGCACATGAGTAGAATAGCCCAGATTACCTCAACTCCTTGCCTCTCATTATTTAGACATTGCTGCAGGTAAGTCTGTTTTTGGACAGCACCGCAGAGGTTCATGTGCCAGGCGTACTTCATTTATGTATGAAACATAATGTTCTTATGTTTCATAATGTTCTTACAGCTTTTGGGAAGATAACAGCTTCATTTTAACACTGTATTCAGCTAAGAGTTTAAGTTGTCAGGCCATTTTTCTTTTCACTCACAAGTTCCCTTATTCGAATTGGAGTAATGTGAAATGGAATTTGAGGAATAATGAAATGGGCAGACATGGTAGTGTGACATCAGCTACCATTCCTACAGGGCCGTCTCTTCTACTTCTCTGCATTGTTAGAAGAATTCTGAGAGCTGTTGAAATTGCTCCAAGCGAACCTCTTGGTAATTAAGGTGTCGTGAATACATCACTGTTATCTCACAGACAGATTCATTCCTGAGTGTTTTAGGACAACAGTGTATGACTTGAGCTGGGAATCCTGACCAAAGATATATCATAAATGTTCTAATATTAGCATCATCTCCTGGAAGGAGTACAGGGCTGTCCATCTGGAAATGTTATATGCCATGATTCTTCTGTCAGCTCCCCAGCTCTCCACGGACATTTTGTTGAACACAACAGGCTAAAAATATTAGTTACTGAGAATCACAATTACAGAAAGTTTACTATTTGATTTGAAAACCAGTGAGTTTATTGGCTTCCATTTTCCATTTCATTACAAGGAATTACTTTGAAAGTAATCAAATTATGGGCTAATTTTACTATATATTTTTTAAAATCTATAAATTTCACATTCAACTATGGCTTCATTTTGCTTGCCAAAAAAATTGCATTTCTGATAAAAATAGGTCTCACTTGGCTAAAATAAAGATGCAACCATGAAAAGGCTCATGGAGCTCAATGCAAACTTTTTTTCCTTATGAGATCTAATATTTCCCGTATCAGCACTTTGAGATTGGACCTTACTAAAAATGCACTGGTTAATAAGGGTAGAGGGTATTGGAGAAAAATGATAAATATTGTATACGTAACTCCGAGTATAAAGATAGGTGGCCGCCCCAGGGGCTCTCAGAGTGTGCCCATGGCTGACTGCTGAGCAGAACTCTGTCAGGCCCAGAGAAAATCTTTTAGATAAACATTTAATAAACACCGAGACCGAGAAAAGATCTGAAGTCCCTTCTCATCCTTTGGAGCGCGGGCTGCCCATGGCCATCTCGGGCCTTCCTGGACCATCTAAACAGCCGAAAATCCGACATCAGCCAGTTGAAATAATACAACATGGTATTTCCACTACAACTGAAATTAATGAAAAGACTTTAGATATGACATTGACTAGCCCTCAATGCTTTGAACATTATGATGGCTGTAATCCTTTACCAAGGGTTACAGCAACAGCTGATGGGAAGCATGCAATAAATTGACTAAAGTTTTAGAATAAGAGGGCTATACTGAAGCGTGTAGTCCTTATGTAGTAATATTTTTTGAGAAGCAGCTTTTTTTTACTATTGTCATTCTGGGTTTTGCCATCATATGGATATTTTTATTATCTGATTTCAAGGAAAGTTTTGATAAAAAGCCAAGAACATCCATTCACTTTGAAAGCGAGCTAACATGAGATGTGGCTACAATGAAAAGTTTGCTTTTGAATAGCTGCAGAAGCAGATTGTGTGTCTGCTTGCTTATGTATGCTAAAAAGGAAATCCACTCTGCCAATGCAGAGTCCGACACAGGTTTCTGTGGAGATCTAGTTTCAACTCAAATACTATCTTTAGGTGTGATGGTGATGATGATAATGAATGTCCATCCCAAAGAATGACTTTCAGATCACTAGAACATAGTTCAGAGTAGCAGAAAAAGAGGAGGTTTGTAATTTGAATGACAGGATGTCTAGAGAGGAGCACTGGCAGAGAGAGTAATGTGAATATGTTCAATTAAGCCAGCCTGGTGTTAGGCATTCAAGGTGTTGGATATCACAGAAAATTCAGAAATTTCCTCTCAAGGACTTACCAGCCATTCACATAGAGTGCACCTAGATTGTACACTTCTGCTTGTAATTATCTTTTTTCTCTAAGAAGCTGGAAAGTCCAGTGGTATTATAATATTTGTCCCTTTGCTAGTAACTTATGTCTGGGGGTGATAAAAGTTTCAGCAGGAGAGAACAACTGCTTTTCAATTGTTATGTATATTTTAGACTAAAAGAAGTGATTGTGAGCCTTTTCTTATAGTGTAAGCAGTATTTACACAGAGTATATGTATAGTCACCTTCTTCCAGCATGCTAAGGTACAATTGCCTGAGTTTCTGAGGCTGCTGGCCCCTGTCATACTTACCTTGCTCCTGTAAATCTTCACTTTTGGCAGCATTATAATCTCACTTCGGGATCCAGTCCCAGGAATGCAAATTTTTTTTCTTTCATCTGACTTAAACAGCCATTTATTTCCTTGCAGAGGAATAGTGTTGTGATGTTCTCTTTCCTGTTGTTAGCAGTGCCTATACAATTGGTTGTGCTGACCAAATTAAATATCCTGTATTGTGGGTTATATCAAACATGTCTGTGTGACATGGAGCTGAACCATCATTTCAATTCTGTTAATATTCTTATAGAAATGTTATGACAATTAAGCTTCCTGAACAACTCAGTATTTCAACAGAGAGTGCTAAAATATGCATGTTGGAATGCACTGCTTCCTTATGTGACTTTTTGAGTGACTTATGAATAGTCAAAACAATGAAATATGATTTTATTCACCTGTTTTGTACCTTAAGTAGACCAGAAGGGCACTGCATACCTCAGGGCTGTAGGAGGTGAGGAAGATATATTCTGTTTTGTTGAAAACTCCATCTAGAAGTTAGATGTCTAATTTTGAGCTAATCATTGAGGCTCCCTGGTAGTCACTGGGTAAAGGTTACCCATGAAGATAATCATGGGTTATAATGGATTGAATCATGTGAGGGTGGAGGAAGTACGTGCTTTGTGTTTTCTTGCAGCTCTCCAGGAAAGGTGTTTCTGGAACACACCCTTGATGTGAATGTCTGACTGACCTGACTTTGTGTTCTTTGCTGCAGATCGATTTTGAAGATGTGATTGCTGAGCCAGAGGGAACACACAGCTTTGATGGGATTTGGAAGGCCAGTTTTACCACCTTCACTGTAACGAAATACTGGTTTTACCGTTTACTGTCAGCAATCTTTGGTATTCCTATGGCTCTCATCTGGGGCATCTACTTTGCCATTTTGTCCTTCCTGCACATCTGGGCGGTGGTGCCGTGCATAAGGAGCTACCTGATTGAGATCCAGTGCATTAGCCGTGTCTATTCCATCTGCATCCACACGTTCTGCGACCCGCTCTTTGAGGCCATAGGCAGAGTGTTCAGCAGCATTCGAGCCACAGTACGGAAAGAGATCTGAGGGACAATTCAAGGAGAGCCATCAGCCTAGGAAGGGGGTGAAGGTTTTGTGTTTTTTGGAGTGTTTTGGTGCCAGTTTTGTGTTTCCCAAAGCAACATACAGCAACTGGTGGTGGACTGGCCCAAAACAAAGAATCACTTGCTCAGCTTCTTTTTCTACTGTTCATCTGTTCATTCTTACTGGATTACTTGCCCTTTTTTTTTTTTCCCCCCTTTCTTTTGCCTCCCCCCCCTTTGGTCTGCATTTTAAACTAACCTTAAAGGGCTATTCTTCCATGCCAGCTGCATATTATTTTGCTGGCTGTTCAATTCAGAGATTGAAGTGTTGTTGGATGCCTTTTTATCTTACCCTTCATTCCTTGTGAGATAAATCCACAGTGATACTGAAGAATGACAAAAATGCTTTCCAACGCTATAAAGCCATTCATTTTATTGTGGCTAAAGAGCGCAGAGCTATCACAGCAGAATGAACGTGACCAGCTGGCAGGTTTTAGCAGAATGTTCTTTTTCAATTGGATTGTCAGTTGACTGCAGCTATTTACAGTCGTGGTCAGATATTGTGCAGTATGATAAATTAGTTAAGTAAACATATTACTGAACTAGCATATGCTGAAAATTTAACATTTTGTCAGGCTGGAGACATTGACATGTAAAAGCTTTGGTCGGTGCCTTTCTGTCTCATTCTGTCTCAGAAGTTTGCATCCAGTCATTTCTCAGCCTCTGCTAGGATTGCAGAAATAAACTGCAGTTGAGAGCTAAAACTGGTCATTACAGAAATGTTTTCCTGACTGTGACTTATGACACATCCCTTAGCAAGCATTTAGGTGCTTATCTCATTGGCATCTGGGGTATTTTTGCAAAGTATTAATATAAATACACACTGCAGGTATGCCAGAAATAATCGTGAGTTAAAAGGAAAATGAAGGAGTGCCAAATAAGCCACAGGAGGCCAGGGAGGAGCTGCCCCTGCCAGAAACTTTTCTACAGCTTTCAAAACTTCCCTATCAGCAGAGGTCAGCCTGCCACTAGCACACAGATCGTTTTCAGGATGCTTTGCTGAGTCTAAATTTATCCATCACAAGAGATGCTTTAGAATCTTCACATTTGTGTGTTGCTTTGTTCATTTTTAGCTGAGCTGCCACATCAGGAAGTCTTAAACAGAGGTTGTTGTGTGAAACTGGCGTGTTGCAAAGTGGAAGGCCTCAGCAGCGGGGCCTTTGCGACATGTTCTGATGCTGTGACCTGCAAGAGCTTTTTGCCCTCATGACAGTACTGTGTTCAGAGATGCTCTCTGCATCCTCATTGGTTTGTGTGAAGCATTTGTAAAAATAGTTGTGAGGCTAATCAGCTTTGTTGTAAACCAAGCTGGGGTCTGAGCCTGCTCCAGCTGGAATCTCTGGCAAACCAGTTCGTGACATGCAGGAGTGCAAACTTCATCCCTTGGGATGAACATGGAGCTGTCTGGTACACCTACAGCTTTTTTTATTTACTGCTGATATTTCACATATTGCTTTACCTAACATGGAAGTGCCTTCCATTCTCTTTCTGCCAAAGCATTGAAAACTTTAGGAAATGCTGCATTTTAAAGTGGGGGTGGGGGAGGGAAAATGGGGGTGGGAGAGGGTGCACAAAAATTTACAAAGCTATTAACTACTATTTGCATTTGAAACAGACACTGGTATGGATATAGTTTTATGTTTTTCTATGTACATAATGAAGAGTGTACTATTATAGATTTTTTTCAGTGTTAAAAACAACCAAGATTGTAAACAAGAAATATTTTATCTTTTTATGAGGAAAATCACTCCAATGAAAACCTTCTTGATTACCATATAAACTCCATATCCTGAAAGATGTCTGTTCACTTAGATTTCTTAGTCCCTAATCCAAATACATTGCTGATCCAAACATTTACATTATTGTTATAAGCTTACAGATATAACTGACACCTTTTTTAAAAATTCTGCATGTACATTAAAGACTACAATAAAAAGATGCTTAATGGTAGATCCTGTCTGACTTCTTTTTCCTTGAAAGTCATGTGGACAAAATTGTTTAACGTTTTCTTTGTCAGTCCAGTAGAAACAGGATTTTTCCTAATAAAAGCTCATTAGCCTTAGCATTTAATGTATGGAAATAGGGGAATGACAGCTTTTATTCAGCCGTGTATGGACGTAACTTGTGACAGGACAGTTCATTTCTATGGGTATTGTGCACAATACCTGTCACACTGTTACAGAAAAGCCCAACAAAACATGCTATTATGAACAGTCTACAAATCTGTTAACTGTATTATAATGTTCAAAGGGCAGATACCAAGTAAATGTAGTCCATCATCTTCTCCAATAGCAGAATGGTGTATTTAGCAGCACTCAATAGGCTAGTGGTAGCAAATAGTATGTTGAATTGGACTATGTGAGAAAATGTAACATATTTTAAAAGTAAAAGGGAGGTTGTAATGTGAAAGAAAAGCAAATACACCTTCGGTATCCAAAAACATCTTGCTTTTGCAAAGAGCCTGATTTATTCAGGCTTAACTGTTTACAATATCACAACTCCAGGACTCTTCCTGGGAAAGATGTGCAGATTGGCACTATGATTGCACTGCCCCTGGCACTGACCTGCATTCATGGGGCTGTGCTGAGGCTGGATCTCATATCCATGCTCCTGCTATAACACTTAGGCCATAGCCAAGGTACACCCCTTGGCAAGATCGAGGTTTGTCAAGTAGAGGATTAGACATTAGGTGTTGGACAGGGACACCAGGCAATTTCTTGGCTTGGCTGTATATGTGCCAGCATCACTCTGCTAGATACAAGTCAGTGTCATAAACTGCCTCAAGACCTGTGCGTTCAGGTGGGCTCAATATAGTTTTTCCTCTTACCACAAAACTTTTGTGGCTGTCATTTGTCACTCTTTTCATCCTCTGAGTCACCAGTTCTTAGATTTTGCCATGTAGTTTGAACTGTTTCCTGTGTTTCTTCTTATGGGAGAGCTGGGCACTTCAAACAAGGTGAAGTACCCAAGTGCTGAGAGCATGTGAACTGTCTTGCTGTGTGGTTGATCTGTGCAATTTTACTGAGAACTAAATACAGAATATTTCTTTAAAATGTACTTATTGAAATGAAGTTGCAGCAAAATACAAAGACAAACCTTAGGCTTTTAATAATGATGGAGAATTTCCATATCTGCACCCAAGCTACCTTTTAACCCTCACTTAAGTCTAATCTTTGTTCACTTGTTTGCTTTCATTGCCTTGTGTCTGCTGCATCCTTTTGTTTCCTCATGTCCTGAGGAGGAGGAAAGAAGCACAGAATAAAAGTCTTTGCTAAGATAGAACACCTTTGTTATCCTCATTTATGTCTTACAAACCCTGACTTTTTCATTTCATGTTATCTGACACTGGGACACCGTGTGACACAGGTTTTTTATTTCTATCTTGTTCTTTTCTGTAGAACTTTTAATTAAAATTTCAATCGTATAGTACAACTAGCACATCCTGTCTCCAAGATGCTTTGCTCTGTTAGGGCCTTCTGAAGGCATAATGGTAAAATGTACATTTGTTAACTGTGAAAATATAAACGCACAGTATTCTCACCAAATTTGTAACTGCTATGACTAAGCCGTTTATATAAAAATTAGCCTACAGGACTAGGGAAATGATTGCCCCTCTGTACTCAACACTGGTGAGGCCACACCTCGAGTGTTGTGCCCAGTTTTGGGTCCCTCATTGCATGAAAGACATTGAGGTGCTGGAGTGAGTCCAGAGAAGGGCAGTGAAGCTGATGAAGCACCTAGAGAGTGAGGAACAGCTGAGGGAGCTGGGATTGTTTATCCTGGAGAAAAGGAGGCTCAGGGGAGACCTTACTGCTCCCTACAACCACCTGAAATGAGGCTGTAGCCAGGTGGGTTCAGCCTCTTCCCCCATTCAACCAGAGGCAGGACAAGAGGAAATGGCCTAAAGCTGCACTAGGGGAGGTTCAGGTTGGACATCAGGAATAATTTCTCCACTGAAAGGGTGGTCAAGCATTGGAACAGGCTGCCCAAGTAGATGGTAGAGTCACCACCCTTGGAAGTGTTCAAGAAATGACTGAATGTGGCACTTAGTTCTCTGGTCTGGTTGATGTGGTGGTGTTTGGTCAATGGTTCGACTCAAGAATCATTATTCTTGAGCTCTTTTCCAGTTTTCATTATTCTGTGATTCTAAGGACAGCACAAGTGGGCAGACAGTGATTATACTTATTACAAGCCTGTGCCTTCTCTCATAGTCAAAGCAAATTTTAGTGTTCATTCAAGACACAATCCACAGTGCCTAGGCTCAATTCTAGTAGGTGGTTTGCTTTTGTTCTGAGCACCTGAATTTCCTTGGCCCATTATTGTCATTAAAACTCACTGAAAGGGTGCTCAGGTTACACATACACAGTGCAGGGAGGTATTAAGGAGGTGCTACTCTATCTGACCCTCTCCTGTAGGAGCTGGAGATGATAAGTGCTCTCAGGAACCCTGACAAGTGCTGGGAAATAATGCCTCCTGAGGCTTGTAGTCTAACATCTCACTCCTTAAGACAGGAGATTTGAACTCCTCTCACTGCACTCCCAGGTGTAAACTTCAGCTGCTCACCTCTCAGTTTGCTGGCTACTATGAATCCATTTTTTGTAAGACCGATGGTGTGCTCTGAAGGAACTAAGCACAGACACCTGATTTGGCATGATGGCTTCCAACAGGAGCCAGGTCACCTTAAAGGCATTGCCTGAGCTGTGTGACACCATTGTTGATCTAAAGTCTTCAGATTTTCCTTCCTATCAAGTGGTTATCAGAGGTGAATAAAGGCATTATGGTCTCTAGTTCCAGCACTTCTAGAGATAACAGTTTTCAGCTTGAAACACTAGCAGTCTAGGCTGAAGGCTGTTCTACAGACTGCCAGAATTTCTCAAGAGTTTTGTTGGCATCCAGGGACTAACTTAGATATAAGTCTGTCATAACTGTGACCTCAGTTGATCATATCTCTGAACCTTTATCCAGGGTGTGGAATACCCCTGCAGTGCATCTGGGCATTGATAGCCTTTTCCTGGATATTTATTCCAAGCTAGAAAATGTTTTACACCAGAGGATTCACTCAGAGTAGCCTTAAAGGATGAAGTACTCTAGAGTTGTATAACTTTTTGGCAACTATCAGAATATAGGCATT